ATATATATATATTTTATCTCTGCCTCCTAGATCCCTCAAGTGTTACCTAAGTGAATGAATGAATGAGTGAGTGAATGAATGAATGAATGAATGAACAACTATTCTGAATGGAAGAGAGTTCCTTGAGCTAGAACTCATTTCTGCAATTGCTAGGGCCTTAGGTCTTTTTCAGTCCTCCAGTGCAGCTTCTGATGAGTGACTACTCTGCCTCCCACAGATAATGGGCACATCCAGGAAGGTGACTATATATAACCAGAACTTGTCCCTTTCCCCAGTGTCAACCCCGGACCAGAGCCAGAGATGCATGGAGAAGTGGATGGCTATAACTATAATCAAAAGAACAAAGAATTTGAATCTAAGTATATCATTTCAAAAGTGGGTTTCCTTTGGCAGTGGTGCCCTGTGCCTATGGGTGTGAACCATCTCCACCCCGCTCCATGACTAAATCATATTAAGAGGATGTTCCTGCCAATTGGTTACTCTACACTAGGTAGAGCAGAAAAGCTGAAGTAGGGCTGGGGAAGCCACACTGGGAACACTGGCAGGGACCAAATAACCACTGTCACCTACATTCTGTCCCCATAGATGGAGTTGGAGAGCTTTTCCAGCTCAGGCCTACTCAGCAGCTCATAGATGCCCCCATGCAAGGTTCCTCAGACACTCCTTTGTCCTTGGCCTGGCCTTGCAGGTGACATGAAGAAGAGGAAAACACAGAGAAGCTCTGGCTTCCTTACTGACCACAAAGTCCTCTCCCGATAGCAAGAAATAGGATAATAGTAATAGTGGAGCAAAAATAATATTGGGCAATAATAGTAATACTGCCTTAGAGATACAGTTGAGACACAGCACAATAGCCAATGGAATTGTCACAGCTAGGTGGCACCTTGCCCTAGGGATTTCTGTAAAGACAGAAAGTGGTGTTATCTATGGAAAGGAAAATAGACCAAACAGTGCTCAGGTGATGGAAAACTCATTTGCTGAGAGCATTTCTCCACCTCAAGATCTAGCCCATCACCATGTATCACTTCATTAATTTCCAAAGCCAATATTCAGGGGTTAACCCCATAGAAAAGATTGGGAAATTGAAGGGCCGGCCAAATAGCTCAGCAGATTAAAGCGCCTGTAAACAGGCACAGGGGTTGGGAGTTCCATCCCGAGGCCTACCCACAGCCCTGCCCCCAGGGAGAGCTGAGATGGCTATTGAGACTGGGCATGGTGGTGGTGCACACCTGTAATCCCAGCTCTTGGGAGGCTGTAAATAGGAGAATCACTATGAGTCCGATCTAGTAGGATCAGCCGACCTACTAAACACCCTGTAGACCCTTCTCTAAAATACAGGGGGAAAAAAGAAGAGAGATTGGGAAATTGAATCCAGATAAACTCAAAGAGGGAAAGCCATGTGTTCCCCTTTATTGGTCTCAAATGTCAAGGCTGAGCCAAGACTAGAACCCAGGTCATTCTGACCCCATATTCACGTAGCCTCACCCACACCCAGGTGCTATTTGTGTGCTTCCTTCCTGATGTACTGCTCCTATTATTCCCATCCTTTATGAAGCTCTGATGTCCCAATCTGTTCATCTCTCTACACCCGCTTCCCATGGCACTGCCAAATCTATTATAGTTGGAATCAGTACAGTAATGTGCATCCATGTATTGTAGTTGCCTCCTACGGCATAGGATTGTGGGAGCTTGTGCCCCTTCCTGGAGAGTGGAATTCTGGAGTAAACAGCCTGTATTGTCCTGACTTCACTCTCCTCTTCCTTACCCAGATGTAAAACCTAGCACAGAGCCTTCCACAGAAAAGATACCTTTTTCTAAAGGCCACTTCCCCAGGCTTGAATCCTCACAATGGCTGAGTTGATGCAACCAGTCTGCCACCCTCACCTCTCTGGCCTTATCTCCTCTTTTTCAGTATAGCTGACCTTCTTCTTCCTTCGGGACATCTGTCAGCCCTGCCCCAGGATCTTTGCATCTATAATTATCTCCATGTCCATATGCCTCCCCACACTCTCTCCTCCACTTCTTCAAGTCTTCCTTACTCCGCCATACTGCTTTATATTGTAGCATCCCTCCATTCTGAATGCTGTGCTTCCCTCCTTGCCTTTATTTCTCACCAATGCATTTATCAGCATCTCAGGGTTTTTTAAAGAATGCTGGGCTGCTAGTTACCCAAGAATTGCCTTGGGAGCTTGTTTAAAAATACGGATAACTGGCCCCCACCAGATCTGCTAGCTCAGGATGTCAGAGTAAGGGCTGGACTTTGGGCCTTATAAGTACTCTCCAACAGATTGTGATGCAGAGACAGGGCTGAGATCTGGAAACGCTGCTAGTAGCTACTCCACCCCCACACTGTGGGACATTGATTGGGCTGGCCCAACCTCAGCCTCCATTCTGCCCCACCACACGCCCACTCCCTGTGCTGGCCATGCAGCCACCTTTGGTCTGTGTGGAATACTGCTCTTCTCTGACCACAGCATTTCTTCTGGATTTCTGTTCCACTTTTGCTCATATTCTTGCCTCTATCTTAACTGCTGTCACCAGTAACTACACCTTGTTCATCAAAGCACTACTAAGGTGCCACCTTCTCTGAGAGGGCTATCTGCCTCCTTTGGTCCACCTAATTCATGACTCCCAACTTCTTCCTCTGCACTCAGGAGGTCTTGCACTGTGCTTTAGTACTGGAATTATCCTGTTGAGTTTTCAGATGCTTGACCTTCTCAGTACGTAGTGACTCTGGATAAGGGACCAGTTGAGTCAGATTCATTCATATCCTCAGTGTCTAGCATAGCATGTGGCTGGAGCTTTCTAAATACTGTGTGTATCTGTGTGTGTGTGTGTGTGTGTGTGTGTGTGTGTGTGTCTATGTGTGTCTGTGTCTGTGTGAATGTGTGAAGAAAAGCATGGGTGATTAGGTGGGTGCATGTTTAGCACAGGCAGAACATGCAGGATTGCCATAATTTGTCTTCAAATGAACCCAATATTTTCAGGGTTTCATCTGACCATTGTTTCCAGCTCAAATATCACTTTTCAAAAGCTCTCTCCTCCCCTTTCATCCATGAGTGACTCGGTGAGGTGTGAAACACTTCTTTCCTCAAGGTCCTTGCTGCCTCAAGGGAATTCAAGCCTTCTACAAAGGCTCTAGACCTCTCAGAAGCTCTGGAGGAGTTCTTATTTAAAGGGAAGAGCTTCTAGTACCTTCCCAAGTCAGGCAACACTCAGTCCATTACATCCCAGAATACTATGACACCTGTCCCTGATGGTGCTCCAAGCACACACATAAGCAACAGCATAGCTCTACAGCCTAGTACAAGTCATCAAGATCCTGGGTGCAGTCTCCTCAGTCTTCAGCAGGACAGAGACCCAGAGCAATCTGGACACTTGTATAAAGTCACTGGGCTATTGTAGGATTCAACCCCTTTGGTGAAGTATCTTCCCTTCTCCAGCTGTCACCACTGCCCCTAGGGAATGGCTGGACTGCTGGGCCTAATTAATACTGAGCCTTCTGGGACCACAGAGTGTCTCACTGGCCAGCAGCTGAGGCCTGTCTGGCAGGGCATAGTTGGATGATGAAGCCATGCTGTGTGCTAAAGTTGGCCCAGGAAAGAGCAACTTAACTTGGATGCCCACCAAAGTCTGCCAGGCTTGGCTCCTGCCCCCAAGTTGGGCAACAAGGCCATCTGGCAGCGAATAGGCCTGTGCTTCCTTGGCACGAAGGGTGAGACTAGTCTAGGGGAGCACCACCTCAGGGCAGCATGCTCTCCCTGGGCTTGGCTGGGCCCAACAAGTTTAGGCAGTGAGGGAACCATGAGCTGACAGCCAGGAGATCTGGGCCCAGGCCCAGCTCCAACACCAACTTCTTTCTGAATGACCCCACCGTATCATACATCTGTGTCTCTACTGCTCAGTTTCACCTGTAAAATGGAAGGCATCACCTTGCCTGATCCAGGAAATGTGTGCAGAATCCACAAAAAATCCCCAAAGGATCTACTTTCCTTTAGCCTCAGCTTCCTCATCCATAAAATGAGACAAGCATTGCATTTCCATTCTAGAGCTGCCATGAGTTTATGCATAGATGATACAGTGTCTGGCAGGAATGAGAGCTAAGTTGGCCGTAAGCCTTCCCCTTCATGTGCCTATCATTATTTCTGGCGATTGTTTAACCTCTATTCATTTTCTAAGATGCCTTCTTCATGCGGGTTGGTGTGAAAATCAAGTTTGAATACTGAGGCTTAGAAAGTTGCCTGAGTGTAACTGGTACAACTAAGAATTGGGAGATCTGGGTTCTAACTTTAGGCCTGTATGATTCTGAAGTCCATGCTCTGCGTGCTACAACATCCACTCGCCACTCACTGGCAGCCAGACTTTTCTTGTATTGGTAGGGGTGCAGCCTAGAGCTGGCCCAGAGGGACCCGACACACCCAGACTCCTCTCAGAAGTTGCCACCTGATGTCAATTATGTATATTGATGGCAGCACATTTGAAAATCTGAAACTTCCACGAGAAAAGACAAAAATAGAAAGCAAGGCGAGAAAGTTCAGAGCTCCCAAGGAGTCATGTGCAAGTGCTGAAGAGAAGGCCCCAGGATCTGAGCTCTATCCAGACCTCTCTCAGGAATGTGCTCAGCCCACTAGACCACACAGCCTCCCAGAAGGAGGCTATAATTGACTTGAAGAATGACCACAAACATAAGCTTTTTTTCTTTAAATCTTTTATTCATTTGTTTGGTACAGTGTCTCACATGCATCTCGGACTCAGAGTGATCCTCCTGTCTCAGCCTCCCCAGCACTTGGATTACATGCATGCGCCACCATGCCCAGTTTCTGTTGCCAGCACGGCACAGGGCCAGCACCACATGTGATACTGGGGATCTAACTCTGTACCTTGCCAGGCAGGCGTTTAGACTGCTGAGTTATCTTCCCAGCCCAGCATAAGTTTTAAGATCAATCCTATTACTTATTTCCTACATGAATCTGGACAAGTACCTTCCATTTGGGGGGCCTAGAATACCTTCTGAAAAATGGAAGTGCTACGCAGTTTCATCAGTGTGCATGTCCACCTCATCAGAGCTTTTGTTCTTGCAGTTTTGGGCAGTGAGCAGCAGATTCTTCTTGGTTTTGTTGCTTCTTTCAGTTTCTTTAATATCTCTCAAAAGAAAAAGCAAACAATCTCCCCTTTGTTTATTAGCATCTCGGGGACACTAAGCTGGAAGTAAAGAATGCAAGAACTATGGCTCTGGAGCCCAGAAAGTCTTCAGCTCTTCATCTCCACTTGGAAGAGGTTGAGCCAAAGCCCATGCAAACAGGAGAGCCTGCAATTCCCGGAGGAACAAACATGCCTCACAGTGAGCCAGGGGGTGAATGGGAGTCATGAGCTGGGAAAGATTTCATAAGGTTTCGGCTCTTTACAAAATAACATTCATTCATTTGGGGAGGTAAGGGCTGGTAGGTCCCAAATGGGAACTGGATAAATAAAAATCTGCCAATGAAATGGCTCAAGTTTTGAAATGGCAGAGTTACAATCATTCTCTTCATCTTCTTTCCTTCTGAAGAGCTGGGACCCCCTTATATAGTTTCTTTTCACTCCACTATCCACCCTGCACCCCAGGGCTGAACACCCAGAGGGTGTTCCATGGAAGTTCTACCCATGTTCGTCAGGGCTCACTGACGATGCTGTGACGATGTGACAGGCAGTAGTCAGAGCTCTTGGGAGTTGATTGCAGGTGTCCAGTTCGGCTGAACTCACATTCATCACAGCCCATGAACTCCAGGAAGGACAGTTGGCTCAGACGTGATTCATCCCAACTACAGAGCCTCTGGGTGTGGCCTCCAATCAGCGAGTGTGGGGTGGAACGTAGGAACATTCAGAACAAGGACACCGAGACACCCTGATCCAATCATCTTATTAAGAGATACAAGAGTGTTTATTAATCAGCAGATGGTATCTTTCTGATCTTCCAACTGCTGGGCGTGGGGAATTCAGAGGAGCTGCGACAGAAAGAGGAGACGTGAGATAGAAGGAGCCTAGTTTACAAAAAAATGAGTTACAGGATGGGGAAAAGGCCAAAGGCACACAATGAATTTAACCCTTGGTATTATTACAAAGAATACAACTTTATTTTTGTAATTCTATAGACAATTTCTTCCGAGAATCTAGGTTCAATCTCACCACAGCTTTTACTATGATGCCCATTTTATAAGTGGATAAAAAGCAGTAACAGTGAATATTAGGGGCTTCTTCTAATGCCTTGTCAATAAAATCAATACTACATTTTGAAATCACAGTTGACCATCAATTTAAGTAGTTTTTCCAGATAACAGGTAATATAAAAAAGCATTCTAAGGGATTGCTTATGCAGTATTAATTAATCTTCCTTCTTTCTACATACTTCCTAGGAGATTAAAAGCCCCTTAACTTAATAAATAATACCAGTAGCAGATTTTTTTTCTGAAAAACCATTTTCCCTTCTCTTACTTTAGAGTGGCCCAGACTCTAGGTTTCTGTTCATGATCATCCTCCTTTATTTTTTACGCTTTCTCAGTGGTCTCAGAGTTTTTGGTATCTCTCAGTTGGGCCTCTTTAATGTGGCTCCACCTCCTAGGACCACAGCTGTGTGTTCTACTGCAGGCATTTTGGCTGGAGTACCCCAAGATTACTTAAAACTGGACACAGCTGTTTCCCTTTCCTGGTTAACACTGTTGTTTCTTTCACACTCATTTATAGAGGAGAGAAAGGAAGAAGGTAGCAGGGAAAAGAAAGAAAGGCAGAGAAAGAGAAAAGGAAAGAGAGGAAAGGAGAGAAGGAAGGAAAGAGGGAAAGGGGTAGGAAGAAGAGAAAAGGAGGAAGGGGAAGGAGAGAAGAGAAACAGAAGAAGGAGTAAAGGAAGATGGATGGCACTGAAGGCCTTAAAAATGGCCTACCCAATGCTTCCTTCTAAAAATGAACAAATTGGTCTGACAGAATCAAATCTAAGTCTGGAAACCCTGTCTTCTGACATCTGGTTGAGATCTTTATAAGAGCAGTAACCCAGAGCCCAGAGAAATGACATGAGGGAGGCTGAGGGCCAGGGAAGAAAACTGGGCCTTTCCTTTCGAGCACACGTCCCTGTGTGTGGTCATGCATTTGTCTGTTTACACATGCAGTGGTTCTCTGCAGAGTTAACTCTGTGAGAACAGAGACCATGGTCCATTCACAGCAGCGTCCTCAGTGCTCAAATGCTGGGCCTGTGCATAAAAGGCACTTGCTAAATAGCTGAACGACTCATAGCAGTTATCTAGGAATTAATTTCTCCAAGATTACAATGGACCTCTATGCAGAAGGGCACAACACTAACCTAGGAAATAGAAGCTAATGTGAATGATAGATATTCCTGCTCACAAATAGGCTGGCTTAATATTAAAAATATGTTTCTTCTCCAAAACCAATATAAACATTTACTAAGAGGCCAACCAAAATTCCAGTTGAGTTTTAGAGAACTCTAAAATCTACATGAAGTCATACAAATGCAATTAATCTAGAAATGTTAAATCTTAACAGAAGGGGATAAAGTGGGGAGAAAAAGGGAGAGGAAGAAGAGGAAGAACTTATGGTGCTACTGGCACAAGGAAAGGTGGCTGCCACTGATGGACATCACAGAACAGAGGTGCAGATACACAGACGCTCACCTTAGCACGTTCTTACAGTGCTTATTCTGCTTGCTCCTCCAGATTTTCTCCACACTTCTCCAGTCTCTTCCTTCCAGAGGCTGGCCTCCTTGCATTGCACTAACCATACTTACTCATTTGCACTGCTGAGTCTATGTTGAGTTTGCCACTAAGAGTCACTGGAAGGACAGAGAAAAAAGAAGACAAGAAGTAGCTCTGCCCTACCTTTCTCTCTGCCAGGCTCCAGGCAGACTCAGGCTGCTTCTTATTTTGAAGCCCAGAACACCAGCTACAGCTTTCTTTGGGTTGCCACTCCTTCCCCTTGCCCGTTCTAGCCTGTGTGTTTGTGCTGGAGGACCAGGATGAGAACTTCTTCGTTTGTATCAGTTAGGGTTCTCTACAGGAGCAGATTTAATATAAAATGTATATTACATAAAATATACAAAGGATTTACCAATCAGGCTTATAGTTGTTGCCTGTGGAATCAGGGATGGACGAATGCAAAACGACCATCTATGCCCTGGGGAGTTGGAGGATCCAGTCTAAGGTCAAAAGCTTACTGCAGAATCCAGTATAAGTCTGTGTTGAAGGGCCCAAACGGTTTGCAGGCTAAAGGGGCTGGAGACAAACATCCAAAGGCAATGGCGAAGACTGAAGCTCCTCCAAACAAGCACTAAGGGGAGATTTCTTTTTTCTTTCTGCCTTTGTTGCATTCAGGCTACAAGCTTATTGGTGGCATCCACATCTGGAGTAAGTCTTCCCTCTTCAATTTGTGGCTTACATGCCCATCATCACTGGCACAACTATAACTGTGCCCCATTAATCTTCTAGGTGTGCCTTAATTCATTCAAGTTGACATCATAATAAACTATCACACCACTGTTGCCACTGGGCGCCTGCATACCCTGGATGATGTCCTTAACCTGATAAGCCCAAATTAAGCTTTTACTACTTAGTTCTAATAGTCTTCAGTTTTATTGTTTGTGGCCAAGACTCTTATAGAGATGCATGGATAAAAGAATAACATATGGGAGAAGTAATATATAAAACCAATTTTATACCAACAGATTGTTAAGTATATTATGTTGGAGAAATCTAGTTCATTGTTTGTAAAAAGATAAAATTTGATCCTTAATACTATACACAAAACTAGTATTAAATGGATTAAAAGCACAAATGTGAGAGAAAAATACAATTAATAGAGCAATATATAACAAAGGTAGAAGAATGGGAAATACGCAGGCAATAGGAGATGTAGAAATATCTCTATGAACTAGATGAGAAAGAATTTCTCATGCATAATAGTAAAAGTACATACCATGAGGCAAGAAAGATGGATTATTTTCCAGTATATAGGAAGGATTCATATTTAATGAAAGGCACTATGGAGAAAATGAAGACAGGCTAGATGATACTCACAATGTCCCAGATGCAGGATTAACTTCATCTTCTTGTTTCTTCTAGATGAAAAAAAAAAATACACTTGGAATTAGCAAGAAAAATAAATAGGTCATGAGAAAGATACATAGACAATTGTTAGAAGAAACCCAAAAGAGAAAAACTGGGGAAAGATGCTTAAAATTGTTAATAATCACAGAAACGCAAAGTAAATAATAATAAGATTTCACCTTATGTAATTTAAACCAATAAAATTTTATAAGTTGAATAGTGACATTTTCATGGGTAGCAGACACAGAAACTCTCTAGTTGGTTGACTAAGCAATGGTGCCGCCATTTTGGAGGGTTGCCACCATTCCTTACCACTTAGTTAAGCCTACGATCTACCATTTAACTATTGAGCTCTTGGATATGCATCCTCCCAAGAATCTAACCATGTTTATAGGAGAGTATGCATAAACGTGTTCATTGCAGCATTATTTGTGGAGCTGGGGAGTCCCATGAAACTCAGAAGATCATCCCCCTGGAGCAAAGTGGTAAAATGTGTGAGAGATTAACATTGAATATTTTGCAATAGTCAAAAGAAATATGAATTGATTGTAATAGTATACTCTTTTTGATAAAACTTGGCACAAAATCAATAAGCCATATAATACAAGTTATATAAATTAAAAATATCTATACACACAATAGTAACAATATATATTTTCAAGAACATATACAAACAAAAACCATATATGAAACACATTGTAATTGCTGTGCTGTACATTGGAAAGGAGAAAGGGTATGAGTTGTGAAAATAAAAAAAAACATGAAAAAATGATGATAGGCAGATATAGACATCTGCTACTAACACATGTACATACACTATAAATAATAAATTAATAATTACATGAAAAGAAGAGAAACAAGAGGAGAGAGAAAAAGAGGGGACAATGGCTAAGAAGGTAATGAAATTACATGAAATCATAAAACATAATCACTTAATCCAAAAGAAGATGGGAACATGGATAACAGACAAAAAAAATCTTTAAAACCAATCAAATCTATAATTACATTAAATTTTTAAAAATTGTTTAATTTTAACAAGTAAATCCAACTACATGATGCCTATAAGAAATCCACTTGAAATATGACAGCACAACTAGTTTACAAACCAAGTGCGGAAAAAAATATGCCTTGTTAGTGCTAAAAAAAAAGTATAGACATCAATATCAGACAAAGTGGATATAATGCAAGAAATATTACCATAGATATTTTAAAGGTTTCCTTCTTAGTGACAAAACAGTCAAGAGGACATGAGTGAAAGGTAGCAGGAATGAAAAAGAACTACAATAAATGATTCAATTTTTAAAAAGTGTTTATTATAGTAAAAGATACATTGCCATTGGCCCCTTTGAAACTACTCCCCCGCCCTTAGAAGGCATTTACCTCATTGTCCTTGCCACCTTCTGAAGCATTCCAGGAAGTCCTCTTTCATGAGTGTCTTTACTTGCGTTGTCATGGCTGCCTTGATGGGTGGAATCAATCCCGAATATTTACCTTTCACAGTCATTTTGAATTCAGGCAAGAGTCCCAGGTCACATGGTGCCTGATCCTGTGAATCAGGTGAATGAGGACACACAGTAATGTTTTGGTTTGACAGAAATTTCCATAAATGTTTGGTCAATTAGTGATAAGAATAAAGTACTATGAATTCTTAAATTTAAAAATGTATTACAGGGCTAGGGAGGCAGCTCAGGAGCTTAAGTGACTCCTTGGCAAATGCAAGGTCCTGAGTTCGATTACTAGTACTGCAAACAAACAAAAAGTTTTTTAAAAATGCATTACAGTAAGAAATATATTGTCATTAATCCCCTCAAAATCCTTCTTATTTCAAACACATTTACCCCATCCACAATGTCTTTTTCTGTAATAAATTTCTTTTAACATTTAAACACTCACTATAGCTTTGAATCATCCCATGTATAGGTATCAAGTAATAGAATTTCTAAATATGTGGAACAAAAACTGGCAGAAGCAAATGAAAAACTAAACAATCCCCAAATTATGCCAGTGAGCTTCAACATTCAAAATTCAAAGAATTAAAATTATACAAAATTTGTCCTCTGAACATAAGAGAATTTAATCAAAAATTAATACCAGAAAGGTATCTAGGAAATATCCAATAATTTCAAAATTAAAGAACACTTTTAAGCAAACCAATATTCAAAGAACAAAAAAATACACATTAATTTTAATTGAATGTGGAAATGAAAATGCATCACACCCAAAATTGTGAAAAGCAGGAAAGAAAATACATGACATCAAATGTTTACAGTGGAAGAGTGGCTTAAAATCAGTGAGGACAGAAGAACACCTGCCTTTCCCCTTTTGCTGGACGATGGGGTGTCCGGTTTGGTGGAAGCTGCTGTACCCTTTCCCCTTGCTTACCTCGGTGTTCTCCCATGATGCTTAGGTGCACCCTTGTGTCAGCCATATGGCTGGAGTTGCAGCTAAGCTGTGGGCTGTCCCACTCCCACTCCTCCAGAAGCCACTGCCACTGCTGCAGCTCTTTAGTAGTGACAGGAAAATCATCTCTAACATGGCAAATATCACAGAGGACTCTGAACATCCCCAAACCTTAGTAAGCTTAATTAACAAGGCTGGTCCTCCTGAGAATTTCCCACCTGGGCCCCAACATTTTTCCAGTGAAGCAATAGCTGGCTATGAGTCTGGCTGCCACGTCTCCTGATGCTGGGCAGAATGGTTGCCAAGACAGCCCAAGATGCCTTGAGTTTGAACTAAGCAGAAGAATTGAACTCAGACTGAGGTTCTCAGTATGTCCAGGTGGGAAGGCATGAGTCTAGACCAGTTTAGATGAATCTGAAGCAACCACAGGCTTGCGGCTGCTGCATAAGCAGTGCCCCTTTCACACTTCTTGAGGTGGTCTGGAAGGGTGCCCTCAAGGACACTGACCCCCTCCCTCAAATAAAGCCTAGCTCAGGGGTGCTATAATCTACAGTGGCTTTTAAAAGGCTTAAAAAGGGAACAAGAAGGGAAATCTAAAACCAAAGTGGGAATACCCCCAAAATAAGTAGAGAATACACTAGAAGACAGAAAAATGATGGAGAACATCAATAAAACCTTAATATGGTTATTTCAGAAAACAAAAATGGTAAACCTCTAACCACTCTGAACAGGAAGAAAGAGAAGGAAAAGTCTCCAATTTCTGGTAAAACCAGAAAAAGACAGAGAGGAGCTATCTGATCCACACAGGTCCATCTAACCACTCCAGTAGATGTAGAAAATGCAATAAATAGAAACAATCTATAAAATGTAACTGTGTTTTAATTTTTTCAGAACTGATGATTAAATCTAAACATTTCACACTAAGCTGCACCCCCAATTCATTTTATATACTTGTTTATTTTGTTTCTTTGCTTATATTGCTTTCAGACAGGGTCTTACTAAGTTACTCAGCTTTGTAAGCTGGGCTCAAACTTGAGACCCTCCTGCTTTGGTTTCCCAGAGCAGTGCATGGTATATGCTTTCAAAGAACCATTACTACATTGAAAAATTTAAATGTTCTTTGTAAAAACATCAAAAACCATAACATATTTCAGGAAAATATTCACAAAAGATGCCTGGATATAAGTATTGCTAAAAGAAGGTAAAGAAAGTCTTTAGAGACAATAAACCAAGGGCCTGCCAAATAGCTCAGAGGATTAAAAGTGTCCGCAAGCAGGTGCAGGAGCCAGGGGTTCGATCCCCGGGCCTGCCATGCCAGCCCCGCCTCCGGGGCACGCTGAGATGGCAATTGAGACTGACATGGGGCGTGCGCCTGTAATCCCAGCTCTTGGGAGTCTGATCTAGTAGTGAGACCCTGAACACCCTGTAGAGCCTTCCCTAAAATAAAAAAAAGACAATAAACTAAGTTCATGAATTTATAAGGCTCAATATAATCAAGATGTAAATCTTCCCTTGATTGATGTAGAGATTGATTGAAGTTTCAGTCACAATCCCAGGAGACTTTTTTTCCTCTTTCTTTCTTTCTTTCTTTCTTTCTTTCTTTCTTTCTTTCTTTCTTTCTTTCTTTCTTTCTTTCACAGAAATGAATAAACTTTTCATTTCTGAAAGAGAATGAAATTTTCCAAATTTTTTTACGAAAATGCAAATGACTTCATAGCCAAACAACCTGGAAAACAAAGAATAAAACCTGAAGACTTATACTATCTAATTTTCAGGTCTAAGTATAAAGCCTTAGTAATATAGTCAACATGATGTTGCTTAAATATTTTTATGTGTATCAGTGGTACAGAATAAAGTCTGAAAATAGATCCACACATAAATAGCCAATAGAGGGCCAGCCAGATAGTTCAGCAGATTAGGCAGCAGAGGGGTCAGGGATCAATCCCAAGCCTGCCTGCTGGCCCCGCCCCTGCCCCCAGGGTGCACTGAGACAGCTACACTGGACTTGGTGGCATGCCTATAATCCCAGCACTTGGGAGGCTGAAAACAGGAAGAATCACTACAAGTCCAATCTGTGTAGTGAGACACTCTAGACCTTTTACTATATATATATATATATATATATATATATGAAGCCTAGAATCAGCCTCAAATTCTGGACCAAGCAAAATGGAGGTGTGAATTTGGATGTGGTGAGTTAATGATGGAAAGGTAGGGCTGTCAAGTAAGGTAGCAATCAGGCTGGGGATACAGACTGGAATGTCTTCATACAAATGTCAATAGCTGAAGAAAAAAAAAATCACCTAATTGCCTTGAACGGATTTGGTGGGTAAAGACCACACAGATATAACTATTTCAGGTAGTGTGCCAATGGTGTCACCAGGGCCACTGCAAGTCAACACCATGCCTGGTGGCATCAGATACAGACATAGCCCCTGGTCAAGGAAGCTTGGCAACTGCAGTGCTGGTTGCATTTCTCCCCACTCAGCCCTCAGAAGAGCACCCCCAGAAAAGTACTTTTTTTTGGCACTGGGGCTTGAACTCAGGGTCTTGCATTTGCCAGGCAGGGGCTATTCTGCTGAGCCGTTGCTCCGGCTGAGGTACATCTTATCTAGCTGCTCAGTGCCATTAGGACACAGACCGTCCACAACAACTCCCGTAGGTATTTATGGGGTGGATGATTCCCCTTTCTGTCTCGTGATGGATGCTTTGAAATGAGTGAGTCCTCTGGCCTTAGATCTAGGCATTCTTCAATTTATCTATTGGTCTATTCGTCTATTGTCCAATCCTGTCTATCTGTCTGTCTGTCTGTCTGTCTGTCTGTCTGTCTGTCTGTCTGTCTATCTCTACCTATCTAATCTCTAGTAGGTCCCTGGCTTTGCATTACATGTATGTCAAATGAATCCTAAATGTTTCCTTCCATCTCTAACTGCTCCCTTGAGCCCTGGACTCGTTCTCAGGTGCTTCCTTAACACTTCCTCTTGGATTCTATTAAGCAGCTCAAGCTAACATGGGCTCAGATAGGATCCAAGGCACTTTCTCTGTATTCCTTTAGAACTCTGCTCCTTCTCAGACTTGTGTCCTTGATTTCTCCCTTCCTTTACTTCCACTACAAAATGGAAGCTACTGGCTATAAATCCTTGTGAGCCAAGCCTGTTCACTTCTGTTTAGTTCTGCTGTAACCACGTGGTTCCAGACATCATCATTCCCACAGACTATGGTCCAGACATCATCATTCCCACAGACTTTGTGGGGTGCCTGAGTTCCTCAAGGACACTTCAACACCCTCCACACAAATTTGAATACTCTTTTAAAAAATGTAAGTCAAGGCCCGGCCAGATAACTCATTAGACTAAAGGATCAGTTTAGGCAGAGCACAGGGACCCCGGGATTCAATCCCTGGCAACACAAGCCATGACGGCCCCACCCCTAGGCACACTGAGACAGCGCTTGAGACTGGGCGCTGTAGTGTGCTCCTGTAATCCCAGTGCTTGGGAGGCTGAAAACAGGAGGACCACTAGGAGTCTGATCTGTGTAGTGAGACCCTGTAGACCCTCTAATAAATACATAAAAATAAATAAATAAAATAAAAATGTAAGTCAGATCAAGATACTCTTAAACCCTCCAGTTGCTTCTCAGTAAAGCTGGAACTCAAACTCCTTTTTTCATTCGGTCTGTCCCAACTTTTTGTTAGCTTTTAGGATTTTTTCAGTCATGATCTGGGTCTGACTTTGCTAGACTTTTCTGTTTCCTGAATATACCAACTAGTCTCCCTACCTCGAGGCTTTGGCCTATGGTGCTCCTCCTCCCAAAGCACACTTGTGTTGGCTATTTTCAAGGTAGACACCTCATTATTTACCAGGACCTCTCTATCACTAATACTACCTACCTCTATTTTTATTTAATTACTTAATATTTTTCATCCACTAAAAAAAGCCGAACGTAAGCAAGGACCCTGCCCGTCTCATCCACCAACTCTTTAACACTGAGCACTGGCTAGTCTCTAAATGCATATGTG